ATCACCTTACACGAAATAGGGTGAATACATCTCATTACAATGATTTACTGGTAGTCTCGAAAACCTACTTACATACGAAGATATCATCAAAGCCAGAATCCATACGTTAAGAAATAGGGAAAAAATCCGTCCTCCTATTCTGATTAGATAAACCTTCCAATCTATTCATTGCACACCTTGACTCGAAATGGCAATTGGCTCAAAAACAGTAAACGAACATACTCCTCGAAGCAAATACTTTCTTCATACATGAAATGATCAGTCTCCGAAACCCGTCTATTAAGCCAGCTTTGCTAAGCTAGGCTGATATGTCTGGATTTGGCTGGCAAATTAGAGATCACCCTCATCAGAATAGCATCAACAACACTAATATGAATATATTCGCATGGGGATAAATAGGTTAAGCAAGTTTAAGTAAAATACCAAAACAAAATTAAAAATCACTCACCATGGTAGGATCGGATCGTCCTATGTATCAAAAACATCGCAAACGAATGATCAACTGAAGAACAGATGTGGTGCACATGAAGCCCAGGCTCTGGGTCTAACTGGCTCATGTGACTAGGCCAGAGGTATTTGCATGCAAGGTCCGGCCAATGGAAGGAGGAGATTTCAAGGCCATACATGCTGACTGGCCAGACCGATGGTGTTCGCACCAGTTTATTGAGCCTGCTTCGTACACACTTACATAGACATGCACACAATCCCACATAGGAATACGCCTGACTCACACTTTATGCCCTTGCCCTGCACATTGGCTCTCAGTCACATACTGTACGAACCCAGGAATGTAGATACAACACCAAGACTGTCAAGCTCTCAGCCACTCACAGACCACCTAGAAAAGGCTTTCACATGGGCCTTGGCTCGTTTGTCGTCCAACCGTACATTCAGTTGGTGTATCGGCCGTGCTGGGCACTTGAGCAGTGCAGTTCGTTGTCATTTAACAGCATTACTAACACTATATATCAGTAGTGTTTTGAGTTGTATTGGGAAAAAACATGATTTCTTTTTCAGACTACCAGCAAATCATATATACATATATTTTTATATATATATCGTTTAGAATGGTAAGGGGATCGTTAGCCGAATTTTCACACTATGATTTGAGTGTGACCTTTCCTTCCTAAACTATATAGGATGAATACATCTCAAATGCATGATTTCATGCCTGCAAAACAATGTTAATTGTGACTAACGCACTTGAGGGGTTGTTTTTGACTTTTAACCCGAACTCTATCAGTTCAAAATCGGCGAGGGTGCTAGTGAAACGAAAGCACAGAACTAGCCCTTTGGAATTCATAGTTAAGGAAAATTCACCACAAAATGACTCGCTATTAAATCCAACCAGAGACTAGTCGAACTTGGTGCACCCTGACAAGAGTTTCGTGCCTCAAAAGTGTGTAGGCAGGAGGACCTCTGAAGCGGTTGTCTTGCTCCGAAGAGCCAAGGCGGTTTATCGGTGCCTGTATGGTGCAACAGAATGGAAGTGAAAATGGCCCGTTAGCGTCAGGCGCCAACCTGGTACCTCGTCCAAGAGCAGTTGAATTGTTTAGCTCCAAGTCAGTTCCGAAAAGTCCAGGCTTGAACATCGGAAGGTGTCAGCAAACCTTGTCACCCGTAATGTATGCGGGCTTTTTGCGACAAAGGAGCAAAGACCCGATCACCAAGTGCTTATACCTGAGTGATTTAAAGATTTTTATTTCTTGGGTGACTGCTAATGATACGATTTTAATATCAGAGCTAGATCACTGTATCGCTATAATAGGTTGTTTCACATATCTCGATCAGTAGTCAGCAACCAATACTCACGAGTTTTCATGACGTCTTATTGTACTCAGAGTGATATTTTCAGCTATGAATTTAAGAGAAAGCTTGACTAGACAGTAGAAGATTTTTGAGACTATTAGAAATACGGTCAGACTAAGTCGTGTAGGACAATTAAAAACTGGTAATTTACTTTTTTTCCTTAATTATAGGTGTAGGCCTAAAGTCCTGACTAAATTTCACTTAGAAATGCTTCTGAAAAGGTGTAACTTCTCAAGGATGGGACTGCAATTTCCACCTCATCTGAGTCCATTCAGCACCTTCAATGGGACTCGAATTCAGAAAACACAGTGTATAATCTCGACAAGTTAGCACACGCCACGTTACCGCGAGAAAACTTAGTAGAAAATTTAATGAAAAGTTTTATTCATCCATGCCAGCCCTCAATAGAAGTGCTACTCGACTTTGACTCTCGGTGTAGCTAGGTCTCATTCAAACACTAACTGACTCTTCTTCAATTACTACTAATCCTCATACAAGCAATAAATAAAAATTGAATAAAGAAAGATACAGAATGATTTGCTTGATGCCTACATACTTGTATATATGAGATGTATTAACCCTATTTCATTTAAGGCGTTAGCTGAATTTTCACACAACCATATGAATAGATATCGTGGCAGTATTGCGTAATGATAAACATGTAAATATTATAAATTGCAATGTCCTGGCTCGAGTCCCTCTTAGGCTGCTGGTGAGACTTATGTGGGGTCGAAACTGTAGTCAACTCTCGATGAGAATGCCTTTTAAGAAAGCAAGGTTATATGCAATCCAATGGAAACATAACGTCTATTCATATCACTGTGGGACAATTCAACGAAATAGGGTGGATATCTCATATGTATGATCTACTGGATGCCTTGTAAACCTACATATAGACGAAAAATGCACACTTATATGAATAAAAACCGGGTTTCGAAGGATCCCTTGGTGAGATATTGTGACATTACTTTATATTTCGAAAGCTGGTTTAGTATATCTTTACTTTATTTTGTGAAGTATGGATAGCTGCTCTGAGGATGTGCGTCACAGTACAGACGAAAGATTAGTACAATTTTGTCGCCAACATGAATAGCGTATAAAAGCAGTACAACGAGATTA